CCCAGCCAGGACTGCCACAAGGCCCTGCTGCTTGAGGCTTGGCAGCATGATGTCCTAGGAAAGAGTGAGGGTGAGTCCCAGGCCAACAGCAGCCCTGCTTCAGCTTGTCACAGGCAGAGGAGAGTGAACTACCTCCCTTCAGCACCAGGCCCTTTGTGGCAGTGCAGACAGGCCCAGGCACACAGGCAGGTGCACATCCACTCACAAACAGCCCAGGAACAGCAGCTGCAGGTACATCTGTTGCTCTGTGCTGCCAACATCACAGGAGACACAGAGCTGTCCTGAGGTGAAGGTCACGAGGGTGCTGTCACTGCGAGCCACATTGCCTTGCAAGGCTCTCTCATCCCATCCTCGTGCTGCCAGGGACCTTTTAGTGCTGCCCTTCATTCAGAAAAGGGCACACTCATAGCTCAATATACCCCCGCAAATTGAAGGTGGATTTACTGGTTGCTGTCTATTTTTGCACAAAGAACTTTGGGAGAACAAGGAGGTTTTGTAAGCTGCAGCTGAATAAGTTCCCTGGCACGCTGAAGGAACCTGCTTTATTAAACTAGTAATACACAGCTTAAAACATGGAATGAGCTGGCTCTTGCACAGAGACAGATGCAATCATTCCTGCCCAGGTCTCCCCAGCAAAAATCTTCATACTCCCAGCAACATATACAACTGATGTAGAGTTGCTAGAAGTGTGCAGCTAGACACTCCACCACTGAAATAGTTTCCTTTAAAAAACACCAGTTTCCATTTGAAGCAAATCAAACCTTTAAAATCCTCTTTTTACAGGCAAATAGTCAGCTTTTTGCCTTTCCTTTTAGGCCACCACACCTATGAGCAGTCCAGTAAAACTGAGCTGCTTGTCAGCTTGTCTGTACTCCTTCACTGAGTACAGACTCACCATCCCAAGGCTGGGGAGTTCCTGTGCAGCCACAGCACACGATCCTGGAGCCACAGCTCCTGAATGTTCCAAGTGAGTACACAGTTTCAGCTGCAGGGGCTGGAAAGGCTGTTCCCACCTCTGACTTCTCAACAGTCCATACATCACTTGTTTCACCTGACTCAAAACACATACTGTTTTGCTGYGAGATGGTGAAGAGCCCAATGCAATGCTCAGCCTCCAGCTCCATCCTGYRGCTCACCAAAGACCATGTGAGACCCCTCACTCACTCCAGATCCTGGCTAGGGGCTGACAGGAGCATATCTTGGGATGGCAGTGCTGGGACCATGCAAGTTGGATCGAGTGAGAAAAGGCTCAGAAAATGTAGATATCTACAAAGGCACTGGTGAAAGGGAGAAAGAGCAACAGTATCTCCAACCACCCATGACCTTGACCCAAACTGGGGATGAGGAAGACTTGTGCTCTTCCTCAGGCTGTGAACAAGCAGCAAGGATGAAGTGGCTCTGGGTGGCTGAAGGACACTGAGTTTCAGACAGGCGACTTCATCACTGAAGCTCAGTGCCAAYGTCTGCAGTTTCTGAAGGGCTCCCACAAAAACAGCCTCAGCCTGCAGTGCTCTGCAGGGCTGACCAGCAATGTTCAGTCTGCCACTGCCAGAATGTCACTAAGCAGGGCTGSTTGTGGCATTTTTTATCAGCACTAAAGAGCCCGAGCCCTGAGTCTGCCCCAGCCAAATCTCTGTGTGAGGAGCACAACCCTGCTCACCCCAGGAGAGGTCAGGGAAAAGCAACAGGGCTGGGAAGAGCCTGGAGGGATGTAGAGCATGAGAGCCAGAGGAGAGCAGGCACAAGCAGAGTGGCAGCCATGTGGCCAGGCATCAGTTCAGGTGCACCCCTCTGCCTTCCAGGCACCCCATTGCTGTSCCCAACTCTGTCCCATCCCTTGGCCTCAGTATTAGGTGTTTTGGTGTCCTCTGCACAACCTACTCTGACCTGCACTTAAGTCTGCTGTGCCTGCAGCAACCCCCTTGCCATCTTCTTGTACAGGGACCTGAGACACAAAGGCAGCTTCCAGTCCAGGAGCCACTGCAACTGGCACWGCAACAGGCAGAGCAGAGCTGTCCTGGGCACTGCACCTCCTCCCTGCCCTCTTCACTGCCACTGCACCTGGTCCCTGAGCCAAGCTGACTGGTTTGAAGCTTTGGCATGGCTTCAAAGTGCTCCTGAGGTTGTTTTTGTCTCAAAGAAGGTGCTGGTACAAATCTGCACTGAGCTGAGCATGTCTGGTGACAGCTGGGCCAGCAAATGAGGAGCATCTGCAGGCCCAGGCCAGCAAGATCCTCAATTCACCAGCCTTTGGAAGCACAGGGGCCCAGCTGGCACCACCAGGAACAGGAGTTTATTTGGAGGAAGCTGGTAAATGCAGCCTTGTGGGAAATATCAGCCCTGAAATTGTCCCTCAGACCCACCAGGCTGCTCTGGCTGGGGACAGACACCACCATCACTCAGCACTACCAYAGGACTGCAGCAAAGCCCTGTGTGAGCACTATGGGCCAGGCAGGGGACAGACCCTGTGCATYCATCAGGGGGTAAATCACACCTGCTCCTCCTGACTGCCCCTTGTGATGAAGTGACAACGATCTGTGAGTGTGGAGAGATCAGTGGATGGTGACCAACCTCAGCTCCCAAACCACCTGCCACAACACTCTTGTGCCCCAAAAGAGGAGGAAGTTTGAGGAGAATCTGAGGATGCTGAGGAGCCTTGGGCAGGTCATCACCTATMACACAAAGAGAGGATGAGAGAACAGGGCTTGCCCAGCTGGAGGACCTAACAGCAGTCTTCAATATCTGTGGGGAGGTTGTCAAGAATGAAATCAGGCTCTTCATCCTGGTGAAGTTAAAAAGCTGGTTGAAATGGTAACTTCAACTGTATATAAAGAAAAATATGTGCTTTAGCAGGAAACATTGTTTTTACCCACCTAGAGAGGTTGTGCAGTCTCCACCCTCAGAGATTTTTGGACCCTGGCTGTTTAAAACCTTGAGCAACCCGATCTGACCCTGTAGCTGCCCCTGCTTGAAGGAGGATGTTGGACTACAGACTTCCTGAGAGTCCTTGCTATCTGAGTCAYTCCATGACTTGGACTAAAAACGTGACATGGGGCTTTTGCAGTTGCTTAAGGCCACAGTCTCTGCACCTCCTCAGTCCTCCCTGATTCGGCCYTTGCTAGTGCTGAAAACATTCCCAAAACAGCCAAGCTTCACCTGTGTGGCTTAAATATCATCCATTATTTAAGCCCCTCCATTGGCTATGCAGACAGCACATGAGGAATGTGTTGCCTTCCTTGGGTAGACAAATGGAGCCGTTCCTCATTCCTCAGACATCTTGTCACTAGTCCCCAGCTTGGGATGTCAGCCACTCAGAGTAGGGGCTGTTTTCCACTGGTATTTTCCAGGACAAGCAGGCTGGGGCCGGGTGTGCTGTGGGCACACACAGCAGAGCTCTGTGGAKTGGCCCCTGCCAGGACTGTGCTSTGTCCTCCCCCTGTCTGTGGGGTAYCCAGGGGTCCCTSTTTGSCCAAKGTAACACAGGTTAACCTTGCACAGCACAAGGCTCCAACAAATCTGGCTCCCAAATGAAACCTGTCATCTGTTAAAGCTTCCAGAGGGGAGATCCACACCAGCACTCAGCACAGCCCCAAGAGAGAAGCCCTGTCACAAACCTTCCCCTGCCAGAGCTCAGCCCACTCTTTGTGGGCYGGGCACTGCACTGAGGGACACAGGGAATTTGGGTACAATGAGTACAGAGGGAGTYTGCTTCATTTCTAATACTGGACTGGAAAAAATACTGAATATTCACTGACAATGTCTCCAAGCACCCSCAGCACACCCTTCCCTTCTGTGACCAGTTATGCCTCCTCCCAGTGAGCACTTAGCACAGCCCTAGGGCCTCCTAAATATGCAGGGAGCAGATCTGTGCTCCCTGCAGTCACTGATCAGGGCAGGGAAATCCTAACAGTTGCCTTAACAGCATTTTTGGTTTTCTAATAAACTAACAAAACTGCAAGCAAAGAAAAAAAAAAACAAATGCCAAAGAACAACAACAGGACCCCACAAACACAACAACAAAAATAAAACCCCTCCAAAGTAAGTTTCTCTCCTAGGAAAGGCCAAGGGAAAAGTGAAAGGCAACAGTCAATTTGAGAGGCTGAAAATGCAGGACATGAGTTGCTCCCACTGCCATGAGCCAAAGGACATGTCCTTCTATCCAAAATCTCTCTGGGCCTTTGCCACAGYTCCTCCCAGGCTGCTATAAGCTCCCTGGGTCAGCTGGTTCTGCCTTTCAGGGCACATAAAAACAAGGTAAAGGACACGACACTGCTGCCAAAACATTTGGGAGAAGACAGAAATCCTGTATTTGTCTCTGTAGTACAAGTGAGCTGCAAATGAGCTTTAGAGAAATCAGTGTAACAGGTGACTCTCCCCAGGCTGCAGCTCACATGCTGATTTTGCAAGCCCCCAGGACAGAAGTTTGCCTTGTGCAAATTCTGCTTTAACTTGGCTCAGCTGTAACACCAATTCTTTCTTCTGAGCAGGTGATTCTGAATAATTTGTTTTAATTTTACTTATCATTGCTTCATAAAATTCTGGTTTTCCAGACTGTGCTCTGTGCAGAAAAGGTACTTGRCCCTAACACACTGCTGCAATATTTAAAATACAGGCTTGGTGTGACAGCAGAGACCTTGAGAAGGGCAGACAAAGGCTGCTGTGCAGAGCACAGCMACAGGATGGTAAGTGATGGGGCAGAGACTTGGCCCTGTTAAGACTCCACAAACATCAACAACTCACAAGGAATCAAATAAATACAGATTTGAAAGTGAAGGCTAAGAAACCCATTATAGTACAAAGTAGCTGATGTGGGCCTGCACTACTCCATCATSTTTTACAACTGCTCTGGAATTTGGTGAAGTTTACCCGTTTTTCACAATTTTGGAAAGACAGAAATTTTCCAAAGGCTTTGCACCTTCCCTAGGACAGGAATATTCTCTTCCAACCCCCACACTAAGAACACCTATGCCATCCACAGGAGCACTTGTGTTTAGCCAAAGACTCTGGAACTCACACAAAGATCTGTTCTGGTTTGTGACCCGTGGACCATTGTCTGAAGTTCAGCTGCCTTAAAAAGGCACATTCACCTCCTAATGTGCATTCAGCTCTTGATGTGCAGACTAGAGATAAATATTGCTTTCAAAGAAAAACCAAAGCAGAGCAAGAATATGAAGCTTGACTGACATGTTCTGATGACATTCTAGTCAAACCTAACTAAGGAAGGAAAAATATATATTGCCTATAGAAAGCAATCTTTATTTTCAAATGCTGCATTGCACAAAATGTATGTGCCTGCCAGCCCTGTGCATGGACACAGCTCSCCTGCACCCTCCCCACTCCCCGCTCAGCACAGCACAAGCAGAGCAGCTACACATGCCATCATTTACACCAGAAGAAAAATCTATTTGCAAGTTAATTCTCTTTTCCTTTTAAGTGGACAGTTTTCACTAGTAAAATCACCAGAAAAAAAGCATTTCCTTTCTGCAATCAGATGAAAAGATCAGGCTCGCTACAGGGCTGGTCCCACACATGGAAGCTGCCGGTGCTTTCAGTGCTCTTCACCTTCTTAACCAGATAAAGAAGCACTTTTAAGGCTCCCCTGCTTGTAATAGCGCAACTGCCTCTCCCAGAAGGCAAAACAGTGCAAAGAAACCAGGGAGCAGAGCTCCTCTGAGAACACCATGGCCCCATGGCTTTTCGTCAAGTAATCTTCCTACAGTGACTGTCGTCTTTGCTGATATCTTCCTAGACCAGCAATTTTTTTACCAGCAATACACACATTATTCCCAACTGAAAAATACTTTCCATTCTTTGCTCCAAACAATGTTTCAGAGAAGTCCCAAATTTCATTCTGTACCCTAGATCATGCTGGAAATARTATCCATGGGGAAGGCTCTGTAGAGATTTTTGGTAATGGGAATTTGCAGAAACAGTTTCCTTTCTCATTTGGAAGAAAGGGGGCCAGCTTGACAGGATGTTACACTTATGTGCTTCTGCTTTAACTCCAATGTCCAATCACAGCCAAACCCACAGCTGATGTTCACAGCAATCTCTGAAGAYCTTGTGTTTTAGGATCTGTATTTTCTCATGTGTGCAGCAACAGAASCCGAAATCTCAGCGCTCTTCTTATTCTGGCCATAATAATCCACAAAGTCACCATCAGGTCCRAGGAGGTACATAATTATTGTGTGATCCACCTGAAAGAGAGCACATCATGGATTGGTAAAGAGATCACAAAATGACTGAACAACAGCTCAGAAGGGACCTCATGGATAATCTGCTCCAACCTTTCCTGACAAAAATACATCCTTGACAACATGGTCTGGGACCCTGTCCTGTCAAATTTTAAATGTATCCAGTGTTGGGAAAACCACCACTTCCSTGGGAGATTATTCCAATGGCTRATTGTTYTCWTTGGGAAAAKTTTTCCTCTKGTATCCAAYTGGAAWCTTCCCAGGAGYAACTTCTACYYATTASCCCTCATCTTTTCCATGTGAYTYCCTGTAAAAAGGGAGCTTCCATCTTCTTTGTAGCCTCCCTTTAAATACTGGAACATCTTGCACATCTCTGTCAGAAGCAACAGCGTCTGGTTCAACTCTTCACAGCTGACAACTTCTCCTCAAGAAGCTAAAGCTAAAGAAAATCCCAGCATCACTGCTTCTCTTCTCTCAGGCATGGGGTGGGATTGTTGGGGTGTCCTGTGCAGGGCCAGGAGTTGGACTCGATCATCCTTGTTGGGTGCCTTTCAGCTCAGGATATTYCATGATTCTGTGACCACCTCAGTGACCTCTGCTAGTCTTACCCAAGAAAATCAACAGCAAAAAATTCATTGTGCACTCACAGTGTGTGAAGAAATATTACACCAAGCTCACTGTCAGCACAAACAGAAGGTCTGAGCACCTGACTGGAATGCAGGCATTGAGCTGGGAGCAGGGCTGGGATGTGGGGCTGGATGCAGCAGTGAGATACACAGTAATGCAGGACCAGCAGTGGGATCCATGGAAATATGGGATGGGAGAAGCAGCGGGATACAAGGAAATGCAGGGCAGGGAGCAGAGCTGGAGTGGCAGTGGGATACATGGAAATGTGAGTCTCAGAGCAGGAGAGGCAGTGAAATACAAGGAAATGAAGGTTTGGGAGCCAGGAGCAGCAGTGGGATGGAAATGCAGGATGGGYGCAGCAGTGGGATACATGGCAATGTGGAACAAGGATGGCAGTGTGATACAAGGAAAGGCAGAGCTGTGAACGGCAGTGGGATACATGGA